AGAATCAAAGTAATTTGTAGTAGATCGCTAGACCTAGATAAAGTACATAACATTTGCTTAAAAACGTTTTTTCTGCTTCTGTCATCAAAACAAGGTTATATTTTTTCTGCGTAGGAACACCCAAGTTCATTTAACTTTCGAGGGATGCAACCTTATGCTTAGGTATGCTCTGGACGGGGGTCACCGGAATGTCTGAAATGGTAAAGGAGAGCTGTAGTTTTTGTGATCAATTAGAAAGTATGTGGCTGTTACTGTTGGAGTTGGCCGAGAAGCGTATTTCTCTCCACCTCAGGATATTCCACTAAGAATGGAAGAAAATGGATTTTTTCAGCAGCGTGTGCGCGTGTGCATGGGCATGCTTTAAGGAAACTGTATTTTTCACCTTTTAGTAAAAAACCAAAGAGGTTTATTCTTTCTTTCTTCCAGTGAAAAATGAAATCTTGGGGAGATAAGGAAATGCGTTACATGCATCTGCTTTGTGTAGTCCAAAGCAGAGTTCTTAATTAAAAATAAAAAAGCAAACCAGGGATGGAAGATGTTTGATTAATGTTAGCAACCGTGCTATATAAAGTGTTCCTCCAGTGTCTCCAGATCCTCTGTCTTGAAAAAACAAGACATGAGAGAAAGGAGAATAATCTTGGCCTCATCAAATTTAATGAAGAAACACCCCCAAGTGCAGTGAGCCACACTAGCCACTCCACTGCATTTGTGTTCCAACTATGAAATTACTCTGTGTTTAAGCACCGGGTCTGGTCCTCACACAAATCCCATGAGTAACTCCTTATCCTTAGAGGGTGGAAGGATTGCATAACTCTTAGGAGGGGCTGTACTGCGTATGTCCATGCCCAAGTACAGAATTTCACTTCAAGTCCCTATCTAGAAAATCTTTCACGTCTGCTTTCTCTCCTCTTCCCATACTTGCATGGATTTCCCAAGGCAGTTGGTGTTCTGACCTCTTGGATCCAGTTTTCATCAGCTGTCAAGGTAAATTTGGTTAATACTGTAAGAATAGTTTATTCAGGTTTAGACTGAAGAGGGAATAGTGACGGAGAAGCAAGAGCATTCCCCTCTCTCTCTAATCTGTTTGATATGTCTCGTAGATGCACTAACTTTTCAGTAGTTGTACTTTCTGATTTTTTTTAAATGAAAATTTCCAGGCCAAGCAGAGAAAATTTTAAAAGTTTTTTTCATATTTTATATCTAGAAATAAAAATTAAATCCACTGATCTGTCAATTCTATATTCTGTTTGCACGTATGGGCAGACAGAGGCAGGGATTTATGTTTTTCACTGATGCGGAACTTAATTGTCTCTAATATACAGGTTAAGTTGGTTTTCATTACATGCCATAAACTGTCAAAAGTATTATATCGTTGTCAATATCGAACAAGTGAATGCTTATCTCAAGTTGTATGTGACCAAGGAGAGTCATTTTATGTAAGAAATTTCTCTCATAAAAAATTTTCCTGGATTTTAAAACTAGGAAGGATAATTATGATGGACTTAGAAGCAGGAGGCAAGCCAAGACATTTCTTCCAGGAATTCTTTAACCCTGGAAGTACAGCAATGACAGCAAGGGTGTTTTCATGTTTCACCTTACCCACCTGCACTGGACCTCTGAAGTGCCACCTTTTTCCTCAAACCTTCCTCTTCCTCGTATCTCTGATCCTGAGGAGCTCCTTGCCATAGGATACCATGGATCACTGTTGGGAAGATGTCTGTGTTGGCTGGGAAGGCTGCTGGTCTGAGCATGCATGTTTTCAGTTTTTCTATCACTGAGGTAGAGCATGACTTCAACTTGCTTGTAGTGTGTGTAATGAGATAATGAGCTGGCCACAACAGCTATGACGTAAAATAAATGGATACAAAACCAATCCCAATATGTGAAATCTGACTGAGCAGAGAACTTAAGACAAGTGATGGTTAAGTCAGAGGTGGTCCATACAGAAATCTTGCAATCAGGTGGAAAGGATGTATTAACAGGGCAAGCTGATGGTGAGACAGGTCATGATTTACCCAGATGTATGTGGGTTAATACAAACAGGAAAATTTTAAGCAGAGTCTAAAGGTAAAGCTCTGCAAAGACCTGCTCATGCCATTTCCTAGTGGTCATTAAAGCTTCAGGCTCTGTTGATGTATGTAGAATGGAGAATTATTTGGGGGTAAGCTTGAAGTTGGGTTTTGGTTTTGATTTTTTTTTGTTTTATTTCTTTTCTCTTGTTTCAACTGGGGCACTCAAAGTATTTTAGTATGTGTTGAATTGCAGACCTAAAATGAAATGTTCAAATTGAAGTTTGTAATGAAGACTTTAATTTATTCGGGGATTTGGAGTTTGGTGAGGGTTTTTTAATGGAAGTTTTTATTCCTTCTCATTATGAAAAGCAAAATTAAAGGAATAAGCTTCAAGATTGGAGAAGAGGGTAAGGAGATTTGTGATACGGCAATTCAGTCCCTGGTCTCAGAATAGGTCCTGGGGACATTCATTCCCCACGTGGGTGGGTTTTACCTTGGCAGGAACCTCCTCATTCCCCATAATTGTAGTCCCAATCCGACACAAACTCCTGGATAGCTGGAGGACAGCTCCCAAGAGAAAAGGGTATGGCAGAGGACTAAACGGCTCAGGGTGACTTACCCTGTGGAAACACATGTCTCGCCATGCTTATGTTTTTCTGCCACCCTGCACAGCAGATCACCTGTCCAACGAGCTTTCATCATGGTCTCGACACAAAGGGCAGGAATGGGAAGTCCAGGAGGTATCACCTTTTGGTCTTCATCCATCACTTGAAGGGACTAATGGGCTTTGCTGAGGAGCTGACATTGTTGACAGTCCTACCATTTTGTGGGTAAGGAATCAGAGCTGTTGCGTAGTTACTTTTTTTCCTGGGTTTAAAGCAGTTAAAATTGGGTTCTTTTGTACTGTCATGATGTCAAAGATTTGCTGGATTCAGAATGATTGTTTACATTAAGAAATCTCCTGGCATTTAAGACTCTGGTTCAGGGAAAGTAGAGCATTGTACCATGGACTCAGAAACGTCTCTGACTTTGACACCTTTGACTTTGGTTCCTCAGTGTCACTTTGCCAGTGACAGAATGGGGACCTTTGTTTGCCTTGGCCACTGCATAAAAAACCAGGATATGATCAAATCCAGTTAATCACTCACAAATGTCTCATTTCTTGAATCTCTGAGGCTGTGTAACACATTTTTGGGACTGCTCTCTGCTCCTTTGGCTTTTGTTATTAGTTAGTCAGGGGAAAATCAAATTCCGAGTTTTCTTAAAAGGAAGTGGAGGAATCCTGGAACACACTAGGGCTCTGCAAATGTACGTTTAATCATTTAAAGAAATGTCTTTTGGCCAAAAGCTCTTACCAGTGCTTGCAAGTTGCACTAAAAGCCATACGACTACATCATTCCCACAACTGATGCGAATTAGCGCCCTTGTTGGCAGTGTGAGCAGAGAGATGTAGGCTTAGTGAATACTGGGGACTGAATTACTCTAAAATTCATAGTGACTTTGTGCAGCATGGGTGAAGTGTCCTAGGGGTGACTGCTGACAGTGACGCCAGCTCCTTACTCAGTGGCATGCATGGAGAGAGACTTGGGCATGTCCTGCCTGTCTTGTTATTCCTGTGCAAAGCATTTGGCTCTGCTGTGGAGCCAGGCAGTTACAAACACCTCCTGCAAACACTTACACTGTGCTTAGGGCAAGCACACGCTCTCTAAGCAGCTGCAAAACAGAGGAGCACATTTTTACACATGGCACGTGGTGGAACTCCCTGCTGCAAGATGTCACGGGGCAAAAAGTACACGGAGGCAGAGGCTTGAGCACATTCATGGTGAATTGGTCTATTCAGAGCTGGCAGTGAGATGCGATGACCTGGGTGTAAATGGGGGTCACCCAGCCATGCAGAGCTGGAATCTAATGGACATAATGGAGGAGGATTGTTCTGCCCTTTCTTAGTGTCATTCATGTATATATTTATATACCTTTAACGTTCACCACAGGCTACAGTTGGAGACAGGTTACTGGGCTACATGGGTTTTAATAAACCTGTTAGTGGTCTTCTTGCCTCCTTACTTCCTACGTCCAACCCATCCTGAAAACAATGTGGGACTCTGACAATAAGTTGAAAGCTTTGGAGGGATTACACTGCCTTATTGAGTCTGCACCCAAAGCCTTTTGAGGGCTCCCATTGACTCCAGTGGGATTTGGTTCAGACCTCAAGTATATAAGTAAACTCTTTCAAGGCCCATACATGCTGCAATGCTTACTGGGCTCTTTGTTACTTCTGTGAATAGGAATGCGACCTTTACACTTCTAGCGAAGAGCCCTGATTTACAGGACTAAATCTTCACATTTTGGGAGAGATAAGGTTACCATCCCAGCTCCTCCCAGCCCGGCTCTGCAGGTGGCTGAACAGTTGATGAAGCAATTCCTGAATCCCTGCTGGTTTAGGTAGATAAGCACTGAGCGTGCAGTACAGCAGCTTCGGACCTTCTTCATAAACAGATGTCCATGAACAGTGATGGGCAGGGTGGACATCTGGGGTTGTAAGTTGTTCCAATTCATGAGTCAAAGCCCTAGCAATATTCCTTTTGCTACTGCAAGGTCATTCTGATATCCATGTTACAAGTTTGTTTAGTCCATGCACATACTAAAATTGTCCATAGTGGAAGACGAGGCTAGCAATTCATCCAGGTTTTCTTTTATCCACCCAGTCCCTTGGCCATGTGAGGGGAGGGGAGGTAAATAAGATGGAAGATGACCATATCGGGCTGTTATACTGTCTTTTCCTCTGGCCATTGCCAAAGGCTGCAGTGGGCTATGTGGTGAATAGCTGAGTCTGAATTACAACAAATTGCACAGCATGCCTTTCTTGCTTTTGGAGCTGGTCTAGCTTCTGGTAACCTTGCCTCCCAAACCTGTTGTTCCAACAGGAGAAACTTAAGTGAGTGAGAGGAGCAGTTTGATTGACAGTGCTATTTTCTACCTGTATTTTAGGTCACTTCCTGGGTAACAACACTGTGATTGATGTACTGAGACAAGCAGGATTTGAAGTGGAGCACACCCCTCCTGGACAACCAATTGGAAAGTAAGCAGCTGCCCACAGATTATTAATCACTTTCTCTCCTTTTCTTTTTTCTCTCAATTTTTCTGCGACCGAGTAAGATTATTGCATTAGTATAGGAGGGGGGTGAGGAACCTCCCTATCCCACCCAAGTTCCAGCCAAAAAGTGCATTGTAAAGCGTCTGTTGTGTGCGTTTGGAAACATACAGAGCCTGAGTGACTCCTTTTTTCACTTGGGGACATTATTCATATCACAGCTGCTTCACTATACCAGATCAGAAGTGCGACAGTTTCTTTCTGTTTTCAAGAAACATCTTGTTCAGTTCATTTTCCGCTATAGCTGTTTTGGTTTTTTCTCTCCATGGGGTTTTAGTTGCTTCTCCATTGCAGGGCAGTAGACTGCCACCAACTTCATTTTTCAGGTCTTTCTGTCAGGCTGCTCTTCTTCGGGTGGATTTTCAGATTTGCCTGAAGGACCAGTTTTAATGTAGCAGATGCACCTTGGAAAGTGTGGTGGCTAGGTAAAAAGTGATTCACTATTCCCTGAGCTTCTCCATCTAGCTAATCAAGTACAGCAGGCAAGAAGGATTGATTACCAGGCTCTTGGTGCTCTTCATTAGTGTAAGATAAAATGTGGCACAAAATTGGCCTCAGTTGGTGAAAAAAGACTTCCTTCCTCCTCTAGACTTTTCTCATTCCTGGCCATTTAGATGAGGTCTCTGTCTCAAGATATCATAGACAATAAAAGTGGGAGGGATGTTGAGCGACCATCTAGCTTTGCAAAGTTAGCTTTTCCCCTGCATTCTGCAGATAAAATTTGGCCAAGATTGCTCTGTCATAGTATTGTTATCCTCATTAGGAGAAAGTGTTAGCAGCATGCTCCTGTCCCTAGTGGGCAGACGTGACATGGTCCAAATATGAGGTGAGTTTCAATATGGAGGATTAACTGCAGGGCTAGTAGACCATGTCTGAAAAAGCTATGTTCAATATAGTTGGAAAATCTGGATGATCTAACCTTGTTTGTGAAACATCCGCAATGATTCATATAGAATATAATATGGCTCAACTGTACATAAGTGTCTTTGACAGAGCATTTATCCTAAATGCTTCTTGGAATATATTGAGCAATAAAAGCACAGTCCTAAATAACAATGGGGAAAAGATGAAGAAAAAGCTATCAAACACAAGGAAAAGCATATATTCAGAGGAGGTTTAAGCAGCACTTTGGCAGAGGGAGAAAAGTCAACATGGCATGGGGAGGAGCAGTAAACACTGTAACTGGCTGGAGCTGGAAATTTTGGCTAAAATCAACAAAAATGCATGTGTCTAAAAATACAGCAAAGCAGAAAAATCAAGCAAACTATACCAAAACAGCTGAGGTATACGGTTCCTAGGTTTCTGACAAAGAAACTTTCCTCTCAGGCAAGGAGGCACTTTCCTCAGCAATTTTTATTTAGTTGAAAGTATCATCTGCCCATGAAAAGTATTTCAGCTGGAAACTGTGAAACTATTAATTTATTGGCTGTTTGCAAGCCCTGAATAAGAAAGAAAGATACAATGTGAGAGATGTCCAGGAATAGTCTCTGCTCTTTATGGTCTTGGGATATGTCTATACACGTCATCACAGACTTGAAATAACGTGATGGGGCAGAAAACTTGAAACAAAGCCACTGCTTAATGTTGACTTATTTGCAGTATGGGGCACCTCTGTGTATGCATTCCCCTACCTTGGCAGCAGTGTCTCTTGTTCATGACGCCTTCCCTAAAATTGTCAGTCCCTGGGGCAAACGTACTTGAAAGCAAGTGGACTTGGACTGCTGCCTAGAACAGTGTGTATGTCCTCAGTTGAATTATCCTACACTTGGTAGCTTCTGTTCCCAGCTCCAGACCCGAGCATTGGGCACGTTGGTCCCTTTGTCTGGACTAGTACCCTAATTCCAGTGGGGTCTGTTCTGAACATTGAACTTACAAAACTTTATTAAAGGGTATACTGTTGTGTGTGAGTACTGGATTGAGTTGAGAGATAGCATATAGTTGTAATCCATAAAAATTAGATGCTCTATATGTGTTCCTGTGGTCTGATGACACAGGCAGGTCAGCCAGTCTTAGCTGACAATATAGAAAGGAAAATAACTGGCATGGTAAAGAAATCCAGAGTTGCCACTAAATTGCATTACTCAAGGTGCAGAAACAGTAGAAGATTATAGAAAGTTTAAATAAGGAGAATTTAAATATATTCAGAGGGAACAGCTTGCTGCCTTTAGAAAAAAAAAAAGAGACTCCCAGGCCTACACATCAGGGACTGTATTTTTGTACAACTGGGGCTGTAGCCATCAGAAGTGCTTGGGGCTCCCCCTTAGAAACGAGGAGGCTGCAGCAAACCATTTTGTCTCTCTATTTTAGAGTAGCTTTTATTTTATGGTTACTGGGCGAGCTGCAAAAGACTCGTCTAGTCAAACAGATAAGACAAAAGTTGACAGCATATTCAGAAAGCGCAGCCAGTTAATTGTTGTGATGTCGGGTCTGTGTTGCTGTAATTGAGAGTCTTAAGGAACCTTGCAATTTTATCTACTCTTCTTTTTTTGCTCTCATCTTTCCTTTTTAAAAGATGAAATAAAACATTTGAAAACAGGCCCAGAAGAGGAACCATTTCGGTATAGTGGCTATACTAACCGCATGTATACATAGAATAAACAAGTAGAAGTTCAACAAATTTTGAGCTGCTTGCAAGCAGAAATTGTTTTACAGATTATAGAGATGCAGGTGGTTTTGTCTTGATTCTTGTGGAGCTATAAATGAAATAAGAGGTATTTCTCTCCTCTGCTGAAACCCAAAAGAGCCATTTCTGCTTTACTTCCAAATAAGTTGTTTAAGGGAGTAAAGCCCACTGCACTGCATTCTGGCAGTGACAATTGAAAAATTGGACAGTGTTCAGGGAAGATCGGCTGGACTCTAATGTAGAGATTGGTGGGGGTGGACAGCACGTGGAAAAAATGCAAGGGTTGGAAAAAACTGAAGCAGCTGCATGCTTATGTTTTGGCAAAGGGAATTCAAAAAAGGATTGTTGTGGACGGATTGCACACAGAAGGACAAAGAGGAACAATTTGAGCTGGCACATTGGAGTGTTTGGAGGTATATCATATTGAAACCGAGGGTGGTTTTGGCTGAATATCAATGATTCCTTGACAGTAATTTTCAGGACAGTCTTTCTCAGGTTAAGTAGAAAGCCCCACTATTTGAAATTATGAAAGTAACTTTAGCAAAACACTCGTGCTATGTCCTACTTACTACCAATGCTGCATTGCCAAAAAAGCAAATACTATTTTTCTTTAATATCTCTGTTCCTAGAACAGTATGATGATGACGATGGTGATTATTGAAATTATAAGTAGTCTGATCTTTATTGTTCGATAATAACGCAGTGGAACCATAAATAGGTGGGGTAATCTGGTTTGATGTTTAAGCTCCACCGTCCATTTCAGTTTCAGAAAGGACAAGAGAATACCTTTTTAGAAAATAACTAGTACCATTCCTGTGTATTAGAAAAGCCTTGGGAAGGGTGAGCAAAGCTGTTTATACTTTCAGTTACCTACAGGGTGGGTAAAGCCAGAATATTGCTGGCTTCCTCTGTCCAAAATGCTAAGCATGGGTTGTGAAACGGCTGCTCTTCAAGCCGACCAAAATGAATACCTAGAGTCTCACATTTCTGTTGTCTACTGACAAGCATAAATTTGAGCCAAGTTCTCCTTTTCTTAAGGTACTGGGGGAAAGTAAAGTGAGACCTTGGCGGGCTAGAAGAGATAGCCAAGACATGGAGGGGTTTGATGGCTCCAGAATCAATGAACTGGCAAAGAAAAGTTCATATAAAGTACATTTAGCTGGTGTGGAGCTATTTGGGAGCTCTCACCAACTGGATTTCTGAAATCCCCTAGGTCCCATTGATCTGCTTCATGGCCCAGTGCTGACCTTCCTGAGCCTCAAAGCTCGATCTCTTTCTGTAAAAGAAACCTTGTTGTACTCAGCATGCAGAACAATGCCATAAACACTTGAGAACTTATCCTCACGTTGGCTTCATTTGTTTATTTTGTTGCCTGAGGGAAAGTGTCCCGAATCTGTTTGCCTGACAACCTTCAACAGCATTCGTATTTGCTTCTTATTTTGCTGGCTGTCCTATTTGTCCCCAAATAAAAACATTGGAAGATGAATGGCGGAATCAGTATCTCATTGCTTTGCCCTGAGATAAGAAAAGGAACTTTTTTTTCTTATTATTTGTGAGGCTTCTGCCAACTGGCTGTCCCTGGCCCTCTCTGTCTTTAGAAAGCGGAGCTGCATGCTTGGGGTGGGGAGAGAGGAGGAGATGGGAGAAAGTTTCCCCTCAGATGGATTCCAGTGACTTGAGCAGATAAAGGGCCACAGCTGCTTCACATTTAATTGGAAACAGCCAAATTGCAAGATCAATCCCGGAAGCACCTGTGTCCATGATGACTCTATTGTTACTGGGTTCTCAGAATCATCTCTGACCTTCTGCCATGCGCCAAGCCCTGACATACTGCACACCATTCTCTTGGCCAGAAAAACAGGCAGCAGTGCTCATTTCCATCAGGCTGCTCTTTCTGATATTATGTTCAATGCTACCTTCTTTCAGAATGGCAGAATTCAGGACAAGCTTTTATTTCTGCCCATCTGAGAGTTTATTGTAAACTCTCTGAGCTCTGCTGTAGAAATTAATTACCCTTCCTCCTTACGTTTGAACTTCCTGGCCCAGTTGAAGCAACATGTCTTTTCTGTTGTTGCTTATTCCTTTCCTTCTTTCTGAAGCAAAGAGATTGCTCCTTCACCTTGTCCTGTAGCATTCTACAGGTGTGACCCTGGCTCTCCTACTCAGCGTTGTCTCATGGTGGAAGTCTTTCCTCCACTATGAATGCTTTCTTCTTCCCCACTGGATGAAAGTGCACCCAGTCCATGCAGTGATGCAGCCATTTCACTCCATCAGGGATCCCTAACCTTCATGAGGTGATACACAG